AAAGCTGTTGAAAGCGGTCGAGTGTATCTCGCTAATTAATCAACAACCAACATTTTTCGGAAGTGAAGTTTTGCCTGGATTGGAAGTTCTATTAGGAATGTGCTGTCCATTTGGGATGAAAAAGTACCGTACACAACAAATTCAATTCAATGCAATTGATAAATATGAAAAGATAAGAATTCGTATCTGACCATCCCACCCCACACGCTTTGTTAGACATGCTATATCTCAATTATTACCGATCCTTGTAGAGATAAAATCACCCACAACACTACCAAAACAGTATGCAATAAATCCGTACTTTTTATCTCTGTGTATGTCTGTTTAAGTTTATCAGATGAATCCGGATGAACTAAGGTATCAGTACCGCAACGTTCATACCAAAAACACGTGATTCGACCACCCCATCCATGTGATCTATTGGTTAACTAAGTCGCCGAAACCACAAACTTCATGCGGTGGTCCGTGTGAGTAGTGTTCATGAACACAATTGATGGTTAAGCACCATTTTAAATTCTCCTTACTGCACGATCGGTCGCTCTAATTCTATCTAGCTAAACTGATGATCCCCGATGGTACTATTCACTGAGTGGTTATGGACGGAACAAGTAGTGCCAACTTTTAATGATCCACTCATTAACTCGATCTCATTGCCGGTGTTTTCAATCAATAATCGAGCGAATTGACGGCGTATGGAAAGAAAGTCTATAGTCATCTGAACATTGAAGACAAAATCTACATGACCGTGCACCTGTTGTTTTAAGCAAATTTTTTTTAATTTGCACATAGTGAACTGTGAATCTGAAATTATTTTTCACAATTTTCCCGTTCCTAAGAAAACATCTGGAAAAGCAGATGGGATAGCTGTCTCTTCAAGAATTGTAATCACGGTTACGAAGATTATCTATGAAACTGGATTGTGGTGATAGTGTCACAATGCAAATGAGTAACTAGACTTGGTTAGAGTCGAACCCAGACCTGATTGCGTTTGATATTTGAGAGGGTTTATGCTTGGTTTTCCTAGGTGAAATTATCAACCCAGGAAACCTTAAAACCCAGTATTTACGATCTGCTCAGAATGGCCACAGAGCATTACACATTGTTGATCCCTGAATCGAGTTCCTTCGTGAAACGGATAAGTTTTTTCTCATCTAACGAACCTCTGTCTGGGGAATTTGAACGCAGACAACGTGTATCCAATTATCTCGAAATGATATGCAGCAAATGATAACATTTCCCCATGCTCGTAAAATATGCAATCGGTTCTCGCAGACATCTGCGCGAGCGGGGCTGGGTGGGTGGGCATAAACTGAGCACGAAGTGTGTAAATATGTATGTTGCAACAGTCCCATTTTCCTCTATAGCTCGAAAAATGTCAATCAAACCCATCCAACTGAGTTTACTCACTCCGACTGTACCATTATCACTTTTTGAGAAGCGTGACTATGTTCTGGTTTTCACATATCCTTGTCTGTACATCCAGTACAGGTGAATTTCCTAAAAATCAAAACCCTATGTTTAAGCTGACTATGTTTCCCTTGTTCAATGCGATCTATTGTCATATACCACCTACATGTGGTCGTG